TTCACAAGGAAAATGGACAAAATGCAAAAATGTTTAATCATTTTTTCTGTTGTAAAATGAGTGACTTTAAAAAGAGTTTCTTAAAGGAGAGAATAATGTATCCACACAATGGAATATTATGAACAATTTTAAATTATGCTCTAAATAATATTTAAAAGCTTCAAAACATGATCAAGTACCAAAAGTAGAATATAAAGCTATATATAGCATGATACCAGTATTATCAGATTGCTAGATAGGTAGATTTAGTAAAAGAAAAAACTAGAACAAAATATTAAGTGACAGTCATGTCTGAGTGGGACTGAGTGATTTCTTTTTATATAATATGTGTTTTTCAAAATAGTTAATAGCAAAGATTTTCTGATTCTACAAGTAATTAGTATCATTAAAATGTAAAGGGCAGAAGAAAACTCAAAATAAAAAAAATTGTTTAAAATTACTTTTAAATCCCCACAAAGAAAATAATTTACAAGATTCATATTTAAATTAATAGGATGTATTTATCATGATCCCTTTATTGTCTGAAGATGAACTAAAGGTGAGTTTGAAGGATGAACATGTATTAAGTGGGATTTAGTGTAGATGATATCTTGATTCCTCAAAGTGTGCACGCACTCTGGACCAGGAGCACTAATATTTTCTGGGAACTTGTTGGAAATGCGTATTTTGGGGCCCCACCCCAGTCCTATTGAACCAGAAACTCTGGAAATGGGGTCAGCATTGTGTGTTTTAACAAGCCCTCTAGGTGATTTTGATGTATGCTTGAGTTTGAGAGACACTGCTTTAGAGCTCTGAGTTCTAAGACTGTCCTAGAACAATTTCTCAAAAATTGTATCCTAAAATATTTCCATTTTGCATTTCTCTCCTCCTCCTCTGTCTCATTTCTTCCTGTTCTTTCTCTGTATATCTCTGCCTCTCCTTTACACATACTTACAGTTTTTCTTGTATTTTGTTTGTTTGCTCATATCTTTATCTCATTTCCCCAAAATATTTGAGGCAGCTTAGGTGCATATGCAACAATATACTGGCAACAGTGAACACTCATTTCCTGCCCTTTATTTTTCAGGTACTGTTCTAAGTACTTTACATATAGGATCTCATTAGCTTAACTATTAGCAACAACCCAATGAGACATTTATTATTGTTGCTGGTGTTGTGGTATTACCTCCATTTTACGGGCCAAGAAGCTGAAGCACGAAGGCTACATTAACTTGCCCAAAGGCATAAACCAGTAAGTAGAATCTAAGGTAGCTGTTCCAAAGTCTGAGCCCTCAACCAGTTCACTATGCTGGTTTTCAAAATAAAATCAGTGAGGAACTGGCGGTGATGGAAAATAAAGGAACAAGATAAATGCACAGTCTATTCCATAGAGTTTTATATACTTAGTAAACATGGCCACGGATTTGCCTCTAACTCAAGCAGAGAGGGAAAAAGCATGTGCTGCAAGATTTACAGTCACTAAAATATGGGCGCAAACTAATTTTCAGGAAGGCCACCATGGAGTCTGGAGAGAAGCATCTCATGTCACTGTACATCCTCAGACGTATGCCATTGTGATTTCCATTTCATTCATTCACTTTGTATTTATTTGTACTGTAATTACTTCTTCAGCACTGTCTCTTTGTTTGGCACTGTGCTCTGGCTTGAGGTAATTCCTGCCTGGCGTACAAGAACAATGGTGTGTCTACCCTCGGCTTTCCGCACTTCCTGAGTGTGGAGTAGAAGACCTTAATGACAGGCAGGGAAGGACATGGATCGAGGCACTCTTGGGGGTTGAGATCTGAGGGAGGGTTAAGAGACACTGAAAGGAAACAGCCATTTGACCTGATAGTGCCTGGTCACAGAGGCACCCATTATTCCTTGGCAACACCATTCTCTGTAATCTCAGGCTGATCCTGGACAAACTGCACCCCGAGCTTTGAAAATTTCCTTGGTTTTTTGGAGGCTATGTGGCTGTAGGAATAAAGGGCAGGAGGATGGTAGGAGAGGCACAGCCAGCTGGTTTGGACAAGGCTCTGAAGTATGTATGTCTGTACACATATGCATCTCCAAGGGAGTATGGCTGCCTGCCTGGTGAAAGGTCACCCTTCACCTTCTCGAAATAAGCCCTAAAAACTGCACAAAGACTTTTAAAAATTGTTCTTTCTCTATTCTTCCCCATTCAGATTTATATAGTAAATGGAGCCCAGGCAAAATTACTTGTCCCAGTGGCCATGGCTCCTGCCCAGTAATCATGGCCGTATCTTCTACCACCTTTGGCCATGAACCCCTGGAGACAAGAGTGTCTCTAATTACACTTGGGCCTCAAAATAAGGATGTGAGTGGCTAGACTTTCAGCTTGTGTTTCTAAGTGGAAATCATATCAAGACTATGAATGTTATGATTGTGTTTTATGGTTTGAAATGAACTATGTCAGTTACATGGCCCATAATGCCAATATCTGATAGATCCAATAATGTGATCAATGTGCCAGAACGCATATGGGCACCCAAGGACATCTCTCCTGAAACCATCACTGTAAAGGTCTTAGGGCAAGAGGATATAGAGTTTGATACAATATGCATTGTCTGGAAGGTGGTGGTAGTACAGGAAACAGAGAATAATCATGGAGCCACTCCATGTGTCATTTTTAATTTGCAATAATTGGTCTTGTAGTGATCTTTCCTAGACTGCTTTTGATGTGAAAGAAGAGCAAACTCCGTCACCAGTCTTGATATGGCACTTGAACTACTTAACAGGTTCTACCATAGTTATTGGGGGTTTCAGGGCTGTGTTGAAGAATAAGCACAAATGCCCTAGACAGACAGCAGCCCTTCTCAGGCCTTGACGAAAGTAATTGTTTCCCAATGGACTTCCATGGAAGCTTGAAACACTGTCAGGTCTTGAGTTTCCTAAGCAAACGCGTTCCACTTACTCTCCTTTTTATTCTGTCTCTCCTGCAGTCCCAACAGAAGTGTATTGTGATCTTTGCCCTGGTATGCTGCTTCGCCATTCTCGTTGCATTGATATTTTCAGCTGTGGATATCATGGGAGAGGATGAGGATGGACTCTCAGAAAAAAATTGTCAAAATAAATGTCGGTAAGAGGTAACAAACAAAAATTCTCTTTTAGGGGTGGACAAGAATGCAAAGAGAGCCCTGGACAGCAGGGAGAAAGATGTGGTAAATACACATGCTCACCCAGCTCCCCCTTGGGTTAGGAGGACCAAGAGAATAAGAATGAATAATGATTTAATGCACTTGACACTTTGGGCATATTCTGTGCAAAGGGGTGTTTAACAAAATGCAATTCTGTAAAAAATGAAATTTCTGGAGACCTCCGTATGTGTGATTTACTTCATGACAGCCTGGCAAATCAGTGCCCCAAATGGACAGTGGACACTGTGCTAGTTGTCACATCAAATGAAAATTAAAAAGCACACACCTCAGGAAAATTTACAGTTTAAAATTAAGGATTAAATAAATATGTCTCTGAGAAGACACAGGCCTCCTCAATGTCCCAATATAGCACATGGCTTATTTTTAATCTAGAAATTATAACGGCTTTACCATTTTATTTATGTATTATGTGTCTTCAGTTACATTAGCTAACATTTCCCTAGGGTCATTTCTGACTGGCAGAACCATCAGAATATGGTTTTATCCCCATAAATCTCCTCATCCAACTCTTCTCTGAGCTGCTACTTTTTTTTTCTGAGGTCGAGGTCATAGGGAGGGTATAGAAAAGTACCAAAGGCTGGGGGGCAGATAGATAAGAAGGCTGTTTTTATATACATGTTGCTGCAAAGCTGATGTGAGGCTACAAAGTTATAATCATTATGAATTAAAGATTATAACAAACTTTAATTGTGACTTTTCTCATGGAAAGTGTTAGGCTAAGTGCCCCCTCTTTTCTAGCTTAAACTCAATAACAACCTGGTAATGTGTATGTGAGTTTTATCCTGGGTATTTTACCTTGAGGGTTGAATGTCTGGCACAAAAAATATATGTGTGGAAAAGACAACTGAAATTTGTTTTTTGAACCCATGATGCAATATAGTCTAGTTACTGAGCAACAGTACTATATACAGAACAAAGGATCTGAGAGAAATTAGAATACATTTTAGATTTATTCCTTCATGTTCGAAAGTTGTACCTAAATATATTTACTTTCCAGACTGGATTTGGGAGAAAAGTTGTATTGGGATTGTAAGGGAAGCAAATAGAACAATAGCAGGTTATCATCATTTTCCTCCTGAACACTCCGTCTGCAATTCCTCGTCTAATATTATTACATGTCAGATAGAAATGTTCTGTGGGCAAGGGGCCAGTGACTCACCCTTACCCAGTGGAATGGCTCTTCCTGTCTCCTCACCTCACTCTGTAGTGAAGACTGCTGGGTACTTTAGATGGCAAATGCCAGCCCCTAGAAAGTGACTTTATAGAAGTCAAACTATAACAACTTCCTTAAGACAAAATACCAAGGATCTTTTAACACACATTAACAGGTATTGGTATGTTGAACAAAAAAGAGCCTTAGAAATATGCCTCTTTTCATTTGTGGGAAGTGATACTCAATTTTTAGTTTCAATCTCTAGACCTGAATTTGGGTCTATTTCTTCCATCTCAGTAGCTAAATCCTAATGACTCAACATGGCTTCTCCCTCTATCCACAAAATGTCCTTCCAGTTACCAATTATCCTCCTGCTTCCTTTCCCCTGGGTTGCTGGAATCGCTCTCCTGGTTGCTGCATCCTGTTCTATATGCAGCCATGTCTTCCAGAACTTGCAGCCTCTCTGGATCTTCCTGTCTGTTCTACATTCTCAGCCATGCAGTGGGCACTTCCTTATGTCTGCTCTGGTGCTGTCTGGCTCCCCCAACCTCATCCTGGGGAGCTTCTACTTTTGCATCTCTCTCCAACACACAGGACAGAAGCAGGGCAACTGTGAGTCTTTCTACCCCAGCCAGTCCTGATCTCCAGTGAGACAATCCATTGTGGTACCACCTTTGCTTGGTTATCTCCATCTTCACCGTTGCTGGTTTGATGGAATGTTCTTATATCATTCACTCTCTCCTTATCATAGGCAACACCACCTTCTAATTCCCAGGACTCTCCCACCTCCTTTTGTACCTGGCCAACAGACATCCTGACCATCAGAGCCATCCCTTGCTGTGGCTCCAGGAAGAAGGCAATTCCCCGCCAGGGGAAAATTCCCTAAGAACCTGATGAAACTGAAGGAAGACAAGGGAAAGGGTAATTTGGGGATTGAAGGTTTATTTCTCATGGCTCAGTCTCTCTCCTCCCAACCCCAGTTGCTCTGCTTTCTCTCTCCCTGCACGCTCCCAAGTCCATTCTCTCCAGCCTGCGTGCACTGTCCTTCCCCCATCCCTTCCTGGAGGAACTCCGTGGGTGGGTCCTTGGTGACTGACAGGCTCCTGACCAATTTTGTACCAGGAATGGAGGGGAAGAGAGAATGGCTGCTACTCTCTACCCATTACCCCAATAGGCAATCCCCTGAGGGACCTGTGGTTCTTCTGGGGTAAACATTGATGTGTAAACAGGCCCTTATATACATATCACTATCAAGGTCTGGCGGGGATTCTTACTGAAAACTTCCAGTTACCCTATACTTGCCACCATCCTTGGTAACTAAATTTATTTCCCAACACCCTGGCCTTACTGTTTTTCACCACCTTGAATCAATAGATGTAATGTTGTCTTCACCATGGCACCTAGCAGCTCCACTTCTATCTTAGCCTAATGCAGTGAACAACCACAGACTTTGAAATCAGAAATATCTGAATTCAAACCTATATTCTACCACTTACTGGCTCGAGAAAGTTGGCCAAGATACTAAATATTTCATCCAGTGTCTATTGACAGAGCACCAAGGACTGAATGAGGAGTTACAATGCAGTTAACAAGGCAGTGTGGAAATACACTGTGGCCGGAACTGCAGTGGGCATGTCAGGGCGGGCTTGGGGGAGCTGCCTGACTGTGAAAGGAGGACATCTGGTCCTGGTCCCTACTCCACCCCTGAGGGGTTAGGAAGGCTCTTTTCATTTTATTTCCCTTGAAAGTAGTAGATTAAATGGGGCCTCAAAAGGTTTATGAGGAGTCAGTATAAGTTATAGAGACCTGTAACAAAGCATCAGGGAACTCATAACAAGTAATATATGAATATTAATCATCTCCATTTCCTTCCAAGGACTAAGAAATCCCCCACCTCTCTTCTTGACTAGCTTCCTTTTTCTCTCACTTCCTCACTTACTGTAAATCTTCTCTTTCTCCTGATTTAGTCTTGTGTTCTGTGGAAGTAAATAAAGATGAACTCCATGAGATGGAGTCTGTTGATTCAGAGATGGTTACAGCAAAGTGGTCAGCCACCAGCACTTGCATTTGGCAGAGACTCAAAGTCAGGCAGGCCTGGGCAGGCTTGATAGGGAAGAAGGGGTGGCTTTAGGAGACTCAGTAGGAGTGTGGGTGGAGAAGCTAGAGGCTGGCTCAAGGGAATCGGGGCATCCTCTGTAGTTGGCTTTCTCCATTTGGCCCTAAGTTGGAAGTGAGGACAAAAATTAGGGAAGCGGGTAGTTGTTAATCAAGTCCTGGTTATTTGGGACCGATGGTTATAGCAGTTTTGTTTGGTTTCATGAATGGTTACTAGAGAGAGCAGCCCAATATCCTACACATCTGATGGAGAGCAGGCAGGCTCCTGGGCTGGGTGTAGTAGGTTGGTTGGTTTCCAGGGCTGGTGCTGCAGGCTGTGGGTCAGAGTCCTCATTTTTATATAGATGGTCTGGCCTTTGCCATTTGGGTATTCAGTCCTCTAGGTCCCTGCAACTCCTCTGATACTGCCAACCATTCTGTTTCAGTTTCCTTCTTATCCACATGTAGACCATGGCAGTGTGTCTGTGATGTCTCCCACAGCATCTCAGGGACTTGCCTCTGGGATCTTTGGCCTCAGCCATGCTGCCAGTTCTGCAAGTAGTTGACTCCTGGTCCCCCATCCTGGTCTGTGGGGCAGCCTCAGCCATCACTCTAGTCCCCTAACAGCCTGCAGAGGAGTGTGAGATCCACTGTTCTTCAGTCTGGGGATGCCCCTGGTTAGAGGTCAGGAAGGTTGAGAGTGTCCCCAAGGACATCAGCACTGGTCACAGAACCTCTTGACCATGCCAGTCTCAACTCACTCATCTGTACAGAATTCCAGCTCTCCCTCCCCTGACCTTGTCTTTTTCCACCCATGACTGCCTCAGACACTACCTCAATGTGGCGCTTCCCAGATCACATGATGCTCCACTGGCAATTATTGTTTGCCTCACTCACATCCCATTTCCTCTTTATGCTTCATCCTTGTGGTGCCATTATCACAGAGACTGCTGCTTCCTCAGTTCACCCTTTGCTGAGAACTTATTACTTTGAAATTAAACTCCCTCTGGGTCTGTAGCTCTCCTCCCTGCTGATAGCTTCAGGAATGCATGATGTTCTGTGGCCAGCAGTTCTTCCTGTTTCAGCAGCCTTTCCCCAGAATCTCATCCCAGCACTCCTTTCGAAGCATATTGTTTAATTCTCCTTTTCTCTGCTGACTAGCCTAGATAACTTCTATCCTCTGCTGGTTCCCACTCTGAATCATGCTGTCCACTCTATGTTTCCTCAAGTTTACATGACTTTCAGAAAATATATATGTCCCTATAAAAAAATACCCTATTGATAATTTTTTCTGACTTCTTATTCTATGTATTTTTTATTATTACTTTACTGCTATAATACTGTACTCATAGTAATGATACCCTTGATTATCATAATTGTCCACATTCTACAATCCATAAAATAACAACTGATCTTAACTTACCTTCCAAAGTACCTTTTAACTAACCTCAGTTGTGATGCCAAGACCCAAGATCTTTGACCTCAGTAAATGACTGTGACCCATTTCTTCCTCCCTTTGTACTGAATTTCAGGGTAGTTTACATCATTTCTCAGAACGTTTTAATTGCTGATTTAGTTGCTATAAACATAAACCTCCATGTTTCTTGACTACCATTAAAACCCACATGTCAGTGTGCTGGAGGCATCTCTGGAGAGTTAAGAATGGCTTAGCTG